CACGGACTGGAAGCGCCCGAAAAGAACAATGGCAAACATCTTCCCAGCGAAGTCGATGAGACTTATGTCGCGGTACTTCTCGCGTCTTGTTTTACCTCAGACACAAGGACGTCTGAGCCCCAGTCATCAGGAACAGTCTCGTCTCTCAATGCTTGTCCAATCACCTCATGGAGCCAAGGCGCCAGAGTGTCGACACGATTATACCGTCCTCTCCAGGCATTTTATTGTTACGCAACCTTTTTATGATATCGGCGATTTCTCCTTCAGAAGGCGGATCGCATGACACTGGATAGGTGAGAGGGGGAGGAGACTGCTGTAGAAGAGACCAGGGGGTGCCGGGCTCCGTATCGAAATTAAAGAGGTGCTCGAAGTGCTCACACCAGCGCTCGACCTTGGTCGCGTTGTCACCAATAAAGCCGCCGTTCACATCACGAACTGAATCACTCAGTAAAGACAGCTTACTACTAACCTGGCAAATACGTTGGTAGAGTTTTCGAGTATTATCAACTTTCGAGGCCTGCTTGATGGAAGTCGCGATTTCAGTCCAGTATTGCTTCCGGTCCTCTCTAGCCGATTTTGCCGTCATCTGTCGTAGTTGGCGGAACGAATAATCATTAAGGCCCCTGACAGGAGCTGTCTCCGCAGACAACTGCAGGGTTCTTCCGCTGCGACGCTGCTGGGTGTATTCAAGACTTTTCTTGGCTGGCCCATAGACTGACGTTTTCAGTGAGGACGATTGGCTACTATCTTCTCCGTCAGGTCAGGTGCTGAAACAGCACCGGATTTCTCTGCTCAGGGCCTCGACAGGGTTGGATTGCCGAATTTTGGAGACGTCGAGGCGTCTATGCATGGTATTTTGGGCGCTGATGAGAGATGAGTTTTTAAGCGCGTACGAACGAGAACGTGGTCGGACCTTTGAGCATTACCGGTCTCAGCACCATGCAGCGACCTGCTATAACGCTTCTGCTGATTACTAGACTGAGAAGTCCAGTCCATCATCGAGCATTGCAGATTGAACTTCTACAAAGGCTGAGTCAATCTTCTTAACATAGAAATTTGCTGAATTCTCGTCTCAAAGTACTCATGGAATTCCAAAAGGAATTTATTTTTTTCAACAAGATGATCCTACCCAACTTATGAAGTCTCTTTCTACCGAAACAACCTTGTTCTAGTATACTTTCCTCAGAGTTAAGGTAATATTCTTGATCGGAGTTTATTTTTTCTGACTGAGAAAGGCTTTGCAAAATGTTATGCTCCACTTCTGAAAACGAAAAGGATGCGCTTCTGGGGCTCGAATACAGTACCGGTCGGGTTGCAAACGAGCGTGTAACCCAATGTCGATCTATTTTCCCTTTCCTACAGGCAACCTCGAGGGGACCTCATCCTTACATTCCGTATTATGAATAACCTGGATTGTTGCTTCGTCCCTGACGATTTGCCTACCCAGGCTAATACACCAACTTTGCGCGGGTATCCCCTTAAACTACGCCCCGGTAAAGTAAGGATTGACGCACGAAAGCTCTCCTTCAGCAACAGGGTAGTTGCAGCGTGGAACGCCCTTCTCGAAGAGGTTGTCCTCTCGACCTGTGTTGATTCACTTGAGAGCAGACTGGATATGCATCAAATCCCATCCAAACACATCGCCGTGTAAAAAAGCCATTATATTACACTATATTACTCGTGATTAAAGAGTAGTTGTGCTTTTGTTACTATTT